TATGAGAAAAGTTTATCTTTCCATTTATTTCGGTCTTTAATTTCCCTTAGCAATTTTTTTTTTTTTTTAAGATTTTATTTATTTGACAGATGGCAGTGAGAGAGAGACTATAAGTAGGGGGAGTGGGAGAGGGAGAGGCAGTGAACTGTTGTCACCTTATAACTTGGATTTTAGCACTTTAATGTGATCTCTAATATGAATGTCAAGTCATTCTGATTGTTTTTGTTTTTAAATAACCCATAGAAGTTAGAGTACATGAATCATTACATTTTATTTTTCTGTCACAATTGTTTTTGAATATTTCAAAATGATTTGTGTTCTCTGTATGCTCTAAATAAATAAATTCAAATATACATGAAAAATCCAGACAACTTTATTTTCACAGATCTAGTGTTTTCATGGGAGCTACAGGTAGGAGGGAAACACTTAGTTCTCTTTCTCTCTGAAAGGACAATTAATCAGTTAATGGTACAAATGATATGTTTTTCTTCAGTCTCTAGAGTATACAGTAGCCAGGAATACATTCTGACAGTGTCAGATAGGGTCTTGCCAGATATGAAAGGTTCAGGTCTTTGCTGTTCCTTAGCCTCTTTATATTTTAGACTTACATCATTCTTAATGACAAAGTTACTTCAAATAATTTAGGTCTTTAGAAATAAACATTTATGTTTCTTCAGGATACACTTCTGCTCTCCTGTCAAACTCCATATGGAAGAGGGGAAGAAAAGGGGTAGGGGTAGTCTCAGTGTTTGGGAGACCTTGGGAAATGAGTTTGAATATCAGTGACTTTGGATAAGAACCACGGTGGAGAAACTCTTTCTCCGCAGTTTTAAGATTCCATGGGGGAAAATCTTACTTAGAAGTGGTTTTTAACTTTTGGGTTTTGTCTAGGATTGGAAAGGTATACACTTATTTGCAGGGAACAGATACTTAATTTTGGCTGACTAAAACGCAAAAAAGGAGATACATTATTAGAAGCTCATGGAACCTAAGGGAGAGCCAGATTATCAAAACTTCTTCAGGGATTTAAGGATTGAAACAATAGAAAACTATGCCCAAGTTTACTTTTGCAAAAATTACCCAGAATAATTTTGTAGAAAAATTGGAAAGTAAAAATTACTCATTATTTCCTAGATATTAAAACAAAAGATGAAAAAGAAAAACTTGATAGTTGTTAATATTTATGAGTATAATTAAAAACGCATTAAAAATAGCCATTTGTTGTTTCTTAAATCTACTCATGCTCTTTACTAAGGGATCAGTTTTTCTGGTCAAATCTATTAAACTCTTTTCTAGGTGGCTTTTCTACCTTTTATGCTGAGAGTGGATTTCCCTATTTAAATACTGTAGAATATATTTAAATGTTATAAATATGTTTTTGAGTCAGTGGATTCATTTTTTTCTTTTTCCTGTCTCCAAATAGTCCCCTTCATTAATGGTGGCTCACTAGGCCATAGTTCTTACCAGTTGAAAGGAGATATGATTTAGCATAATCCCTCCCAGGTTATTCTGATACTTAATGTCTTAGTGATCAGTTTGCTATAACAAAGCACTATGGACTGGGTGGCTTAAACAACAGATACTTATTTTTCACAGTTTTGGAAACTGAGAAGTCCAAGATCAAGGTGTGAGCAGATTCCATTCCTGGTGAGGACTCTCTTCTTGACTTGAAAACAGACACTTTCTTGCTTAGTCCTCACATGGTAGAAAGAGAGAGAGCTTGTCTTTCTTCCTTTTCTTGTATGACCCATAATGTCACCATAGGGGCTCTACCCTCAATACCTCATATATCCGATTACCACACAAGGGCCCCATCTATGGACATTATCACTTTAAAGATTAGGGCTGCAATAAAAAAATTTGGAGAAGTGCAAATACTCAGTCCATAACACCTTATCCTATCTCTTTTCCATTTCCACCTGAGGAGAATTTAATTCTGCTTATTCTTGTTTTTAATTTGCTTTTATTGTGAACATTACTTATAAATCATTTTGACATCAAAGAGAAACACAAAGTAAAAACTGAAAGTTCTTTCCTAAATCCTCAGTATCCCACTCTCTAGGAATAACTAGTGTTATTTGCCAGAATATACAAAGTTATTGTCTGTATATGTGCATGCAAGTGTGCCTGTTTTTTACATTTTTATCTTCAGTCGTGTGTGTGTTTAGTGTGAAGCAGGGATCCATTTCCAAGTATTTAACTCTTGTCCTTTCAGCATCTTGACTAATTCATTATTTCCCTGCTCATAGAAAAATATTGTTGAATATCAATCAGTACAATATATATAATAGTACTGATAAATTTATAGATCAGTTTGTGTACTTTAAATTGTTTTCAGATACTAATAGTAAGCTTTTTATTATTTTTATTTTAGCATTTCCCCTCCCTCCTACTGGACCATTGATGTTTTAGAAATATTTCTTAGCTATTGTCCCTAGTCTTGTTTCAAGAATTTTTATCAGAGATTTCATTGCAGTTTCATTGAATTTGTGTGGTATGGGGAGATATGATGTCTAAATAGCATTAATTTTTCCTACAGGAATATGACATATCTTACATTTATTCAAGTCAATTGCTCAGGTTTATTAGTTCTTCACAACTTTATTCATGGGCATTTGGAATATTAATGTTTTACAGATATTGTTTTTTCTGTAATAAATTTGTAAAGATTATCACCTATCCTAACATGTTGATTATATATTTTGAATATATTTTGCATGTTTTATATGCACCCATATTTTATATGCACCCTTTACTTGGCCGCCTTAGATTTTTCAGTTAACAGGTTTTTCAAATAATAATTCTGTCTGTTCCTTTCTAATGCTTTACCATTAGTACAGGTCTGATTCACAGACCTGTACTCCTGGGGCATTATATGTTATATTGTATGTTAATTAAAAATTATATTACAGGGCACCTGGGTGGCTCAGTGGGTTAAAGCCTCTGCCTTCGGTTCAGGTCATGATCCCAGGGTCCTGGGATTGAGCCCCACGTTGGGCTCTCTGCTCTGTGGGGAGCCTGCTTTCTCCTCTCTCTCTGCCTGCCTCTCTGCCTACTTCTGATCTCTGTCAAATAAATAAATAAAATCTTTTAAAAAATTATATTACATATTTATATATAAATTTATTTTTATATATTTTATAAGAAATAATTTTTATATTTATATATTTATATAATTTATATTTATATAAATTTTATGTATAAAATTACTTATATATAAATATGTATTATACATTATATGTTAATAAAAATTTATAAAAATCCTTTTTTCCTCAGTTGTTAGAGTTTTTAAAAAATTCAGATAATGAATGCTAAATTTTATAAAATACCTTTTCAACCTCAAATGAGGAAGTCACTGTGAGCTTTCAGTGTGATAGTTTAAAAATCTCTTTAAATTCTTGGAATTTCCTACTTCGTCATTATGTCTTTTTCTTTAAACAAAAAGCTGGGTATTATTTCATAACATTATATGAAAAATTTAATATTCATAAATTGTCCTTTTATATGTATATTCTGGTTTAGTACTAGACTTATGATAGCTTGCTAAAATACATTACAATATTTATAAAATTTATATATCTTGGATTAATTTTAAAAGCTTAGTAATTATCTACACTTGAAAGCATGACAGAACACAGTGGTAAATTTTGAGGACTTGGTACTTTTTTGGGGCAATGGTTAAAAAACCCTTTTCTTCCTTAACTGTTAAGTATAGTCACTGTGAATTGTCTATCCTTTTTCGTAATACATCTTCAGTCATCTCCTAAATGGTACAATTCACTCTCTTGTTTGTTTACTTATTTTTTAAAATTCATTTACAATTTGGATGGCATAGTTTGCTTATTTCTTTATTTATATTTTATTTATCATTTATGTTGTTTTTCTCCCAAAAAGGGTTAGTGGAAATAATTTGTGAAGTTTTTGTTGTTGTTTAGAACTCTTTAAACATGTTTAAACACATTTTTCTTGGTTATTTTTTAAGTGATACTCTCTACATTTTTGTATTTATTTAAAAATATTAATAAGACCTTAAATTTCAAAGATACTATTTGTACAGTGTATTGTTTTTACAGTTTCCATGTTTGAGTGTTTATACTGGTTTACTTCTGAATTTGAATATTTAGTCAGGACACATGAGTCATAAATTCTCCAAGGGCTTATATATATGTTCTAATATACTTGTCAATCAGTAGCATCTTGCTTAACTTTAGTATTCATAAATATTGGTCTTATTTATCCTAAAATAATTTAGATTTGGACCACGGAAGTCAGTATTACAAGGGAGAAATTTGATGTCATTTCATTTTAACTTTTGCTTATGGAATTATTTTTCTTCATCCATGAAATAGAAAAAAATTGATTTCACATTTACATAATTTTTAAAATTAATGTTTTCTAGTAGTTCATCTATCTTAAATGAAGGTTTTTAATAGAGATTCTTGATAGAGGAATCCTCCAGAAGATACTTTGGTAATATATTTGGTTTGACAGATCCTGCATGTATTAGTGATCTATTATAAATTATAAATTACTCTAAAATTCAGTGGCTTTAAAACGACATGCATTTATTATCTCTCTTTGTGTCAGAAATTCATGCATGACTCAGCTGGGTTCTATGCCTCAGAGTCTTTCACAAGACTGCAGTCAGGTGTCAGGGCTGGGATCTCTTCTGGAGGCTTGACTGGGGAATGATCTCCTTCCAAGCTTGTTCTCGGCCTAATCTAGTGCTTTTCCCACTGGGACACATATTGACAGGTATTTGATTTATTTGAGAGTCACTCTTTGGGTCTAACATTCAGCCCCAGGAACATCTACCTCTTTTGAGCTCTTCCTGTTATTTAGTCATAAATGTATGTGTGTATGTGAATGTGCATGGACATACAGGTGAGCATCTATAGAAGGGTAAGTGGGAGGGACAGAGAGAAATAAGCAGGGAGGGAGAATGATCATATGTTAGTATAACTTTTTTCTATTTTAAGAACTATTTTTTCCCCCCGTAGGTGCTTTAGCTGGGCCAATTATTGTGGAGCCACATGTCACAGCAGTATGGGGAAAGAATGTTTCATTGAAGTGTTTAATTGAAGTAAATGAAACTATAACACAAATTTCATGGGAGAAGATCCATGGCAAAAGTTCACAGACTGTTGCAGTTCATCATCCTCAGTATGGATTCTCTGTTCAAGGAGAATATCAGGGAAGAGTCTTATTTAAAAACTATTCACTTAATGATGCGACAATTACTCTACATAACATAGGATTTTCTGATTCTGGAAAATACATATGCAAAGCTGTTACATTCCCGCTTGGAAATGCTCAGTCCTCTACAACTGTAACTGTATTAGGTAGGTATGCTTGAATTGTATATTTTGGTGGTACTGGCAAGGATTATAATAAAAGTTTTTTCAAGATTTTAAAATAACTAACTGTATATACATAAACCTAGATTTGAAATAATTCAGATATGATTTTTCAAGTTTTTTCTTAAAAATCTGTGATTCTCTGCTCTCAATTTAAACAAAATTTTGTATCTACCTACCTATCTGTGTAATGCTGTGTTGTTCTTAGTTATTTTACTTTCATAAAAGATTGGTTTTTGTATATAATACTAAAATGCTGAGTGTTTTTGACATTTTCAGTATTCTTTCTCAAAATTTCAAACTTTAAATTTCCATTTTTAAATAAGCTTGTCCATTTATTTAAATGACTGTTGTCTTAGAGCCATTGCTATATTTCCATGTTTCTGAAATCAGATCTTACTTCTGCCACTGTGGATTTCATAGCTGTTTGATCCTTGGGCCGTTGCTTCTAATGAGCAGTCTTCTGCTTTTTCCTTTCTGATAACTTAGAATTTATGGAGGAATTTAAAATGAGCTTATTATTGTTAAGATAGCCGCTTGCAGTGAAAGGTATACCAATTTGGAAATACTGGCTTGTATTTTTAGAATACCAGAGTAAAGATTAAGGAGTAATAGCAACCTTAGCATTTTCCAATCAAAGTAGGACTCCTATAACAGGCAGTCTTTGTCTATTGGGGACTTGGTTGGATCTGCTGACAGCTCCCCTCCTCAACCCTCCTTCTTCACTTTCCTTCTGGGTATTACACCCTTGTAAAAAGCACTTTGTGTTCCTCACTAGGTCTTAGTGTCTGCTTCCAGAGCAGCAAACAAGTGCACTGCCCCTAATATTTAAAGGCATCATTTCAGGGTCTCTGACATGCAGGAAAGCCATTTTGTCCAGCTCTTGTCAGATATTTTTTCATGTTGAGAGATACTATTTAAAAATAGAAATAAAATTAAATATTTGAGAATTTCATATGTTTATGACACTGCCTGAACACCTGTGGGAAAATATAACTCATGTTTATGAAACAGATACTTTTGAGAAACTTTGACTAGAAGGCAGGGAGCATTGGGTGTTATACACAAACAATGAATCCTGGAACACTGAATCAAAAACTAATGATGTACTGTATGGTGACTAACGTTAACATTACAAAAAAAAAAAAAAGAATAGGTCCAGAAACAAACAAAACAAAAAAGAAGGCAAAAATAAATACCTGAAAAATCAAGTGCAGGCCATCAGGGTAAAAAAAGTTCAATGGCTAGAAAACAGTAGTTTTGTGTGTGGAAGAGGGAACCCATTGGAGTAAGGGGTTTTTTTGCTTTACATTCTAGTAATTGCCCCTAAGTTAATATAATACTCAGTGATTTTAAAACTGAGGACTGTTTATTGTACAAGACTAGTCATGATGTTCACCACACCCATGTATCTAGCTTCATCTATTTCATCTCTTTCTCCACTTTACAACACAAATAATCATGATGAACTACTTGCAGTTCTGATAATACCTGTTTTTGTTTTACATGTGTTTTTCTTTCTTCTTGGATTGCTTTCTTTTTCTTCCTGTCTTCCTAGTTCTTATATTTAACTGCTATTTATCAAACCACATCCTTTTAGAGAGCCATTGTTGAAATATATACCCACTTGCAGTTTGATTTTTTTTTTTTTTCTTCTTTCTTTTTTTGGCTCTTTTGCCATTTTTTCTTGAGCTTATCTATTGCAGCAGTTACCATACTGTTTGTTGTGTGTTTTCTACATTATAAACACATGGTGGACTGCAACTCTGTACTTTAAAATTTAACTTTATCTCTCTAAGGCCTACAAGAATTCCTGGTATACAGCAGCCATACACCATAAGTGTTATTTAAGTAGGGTATAGGAACGGATTGGTAAAACTTAGTAGTCTACAAAAGTTGTATAGAAAAACAGTTGAACCAGTCGTTGAATTTTGGATAGGTTTGGGGTAAGCAGAAGTAAGTATAGGGATAATAAACGAGCCAGTGCGGGGAGGCAGAAAACAACATACATTAAGGCAGAGTTCTTTTTACCATCAGCGTTGTTGATATTTTGGGCCGGAATTCTTTGCTCTAGTGAGCTGTCCTGTCCATTGTACACTGTTTGGCACTGTCTGTGGAGACATTCTAAGTTCTCATCACTGAAAGACTGCTGCTAGCATCTGGTGGGTCTTTCAGTGATGATAACTTAGAATGTCTCCAGATATTGCCAAGGGTACTCTGGAAGAGGAGAGGAGAGATCACTCATTGTTGAGCGATGAGTGAAATCACTCATTAGTGGAATCACTGAATAATTTTTTGATTGTTCAGAGGATTTATGTAAAGTACAAGAACTAAAGGCTAGAAAGTTTGAGTAGGACTGCATTAAAGTAACCTGAATGTTATGATGGAGAATTTGAGCTTTGTATTACTAGAAATGCCAAATTGGTATAAGATATTGTACTTCTTGCCTCCCTTCTTCTACCCTCAGACTCCTGCTATATAAAGTGTGGTTGCTGAACCGGCAGCATTGGCATCACTTGGGAGTTTGTTAAAAATATAGAATTTTGGGTCCCTCCCAAACTTATTGAATGATAAGTCTACATTTTAGCAGGATTTCTAAGTGATTCGTATACAGAATGAAGTTTGAGAAACACTGGTTTGATCGCCTTCTCACCTTGCTTAGAGGGATATTTAAGTCATAATAGACTAGATTTAGGGAGTAATGTGATAAAAGTTATGATTTCTGAAGATCAGTCGGGTGTTTTTGATGGATTGAAATGAAGAGGTCCGAGGGAGGAGTCGAGATGGCAGAGGAGTAGCAGGCTGAGATGATATCAGGTAGCAGGAGATCAGCTAGGTAGTTTATCAAACCTTTCCAAACACCTGCAAATCCAAAAGGAGATCAAAGAGAAGAGCAGCAATTCTAGAAACAGAAAATCGACCACTTTCTGAAAGGTAGGACCTGCAGAGGAGTGAATCCAAAGCGACGGAAAGATAGACCGCAGGGGGTGGGGCCGGCTCCCAGCAAGCGGCGGAGCAACGGAGCACAAAATCAGAACTTTTTAAAGTCTGCTCCACTGAGGGACATGGCTCCAGAGGCTAAGCCGGGTTGAAGGCCACTCGGGGACGGTGTGGTCTCAGGTCCCACAGGGTCACAGAAGAATCAGGGGTGTCTGAGTGTTGCAGAGCTCACAGGTATTAGAGCAAGAAGCTGGCTACAGAGATGGAGCTGAGGAGTGAGCTCTCAACTTGGGGTTACCTTAAACTGTGATCCGTGACACAATCAGCCCACTGCTCTTTGAGCAGAGACTCCAGAAGATCCAGGGAGACCCCCCCCCAGAAGAGCGGCAGGGATCTGCTAGGTTTGGAGACTCCAGGCGGCGCTGTGTGCCAGAGACAGAGACGCTTGGTCACAGGCTGGGTGAGCTCGGAGTGTGGCCAGAGGCCAGGGAGACGGGAGTGATTGAATGCTTTTCTCCGAGGGTACACTGAGGAGTGGGGCTCCAAGCTCTCCACTACTCCGGGCTGGAGATTGGGAGGCCACCATTTTCATTCCCATTCTCCAGAGCTCTACAGAAGGCGTTCAGGGAATAAAAGCTCCCAAAAGTGAACCAGAGCAGATTACTTAGCCTAGCCCCTGGTAAGGGCGGTGTAACTCTGCCTTCTGCAAAGACACTTGAGAATCACTACAACAGGCCAATCCCCCAGATGATCAGCAAGAAATCTAGCTAAGACCAAGTTCACTTATCAAGGAGAACAGCAGATTTCCAGAGGAGGAGAAAGCAAGGCATGGAATTCATGGCTTTGTCCTCATGATTCTTTAGTCTTGCAAAGTTAATTAATTTTTTTAATTTTATTTTTTCCATATGCTAATTTTTTTTTAACTTTTACCCTTTCCTCTATTAACGTTTTTAAACTAGTTTATCTTAACAATCCTTTCATTAAAAAGATCTTTTTGAACCTTCATTATTATACTCATATTTTATCCTTCATTGTATCTAACTTTATTTTTTGTATACACATAGGGTTTTTTCTTCTAAAAAAAATTTGAGATACAACTTCTAATAGATCAAAATACACCCTAAAGCTAGCACAGGGCTTTGTTCTAGTCTCCAGCCTGAGCAGAGTCTCTCCACTTTCTTTTTCTTTATTCTCCCAACCAACTTATCAACTCCTTTTTTAGAATTTTTTTTTAAAGTTTTCATCTTTATACTCATATTCCATCCCTTCATCGTGTTTACCCTTATTTTCTGTGTGTGTGTGTATATATATATAAGTTTTTCATTCTTTAAAATCTCAGGACATAGTTTCTTCTAAGAGACCAAAATAATCCCAAAATTAAGTGGATGACTCTGTTCTATTCACCATTCTAATATATATTTTTTATTTTATTTATTTATTTTTTTTCTGAACTGCTTTTTACCCCCTTTCCTGCCCCCAGGATTTAGGGTCTCTCCTGATCTGGTTAAAGCACATTTTCCTGGGATCTTTGCCACACTTTTAGTATTTTATTCTCTCCTTCATATATTTTTTTTTCCTTCATATATTCTTATATGGATAAAATGACAAGGCCGAAAAACTCACCACAAAAAAAAAGAACAAGAGGCAGTACCGAAGGCTAGGGACCTAATCAATACAGACATTGATAATATGTCAGATCTAGAGTTCAGAATGATGATTCTCAAGGTGCTAGCCGTGCTCGAAAAAGGCATGGAAGATATTAGAGAAACCTGTCTGGAGAAATAAAAGCCCTTTCTGGAGAAATAAAAGAATTAAAATCTAACCAAGCTGAAATCAAAAAAGCTATTAATGAGATGCAGTCAAAAATGGGGGCTTTTACTGCTAGGATAAATGAGGCAGAAGAGAGAATTAGTGATATAGAAGACCAAATGACAGAGAATAAAGAAGCTGAGCAAAAGAGAGACAAACAACTACTGGACCACGAGGGGAGAATTGGAGAGATAAGTGATACCATAAGATGAAACAACATTAGGATAATTGGGATT